AACTGTATCAGGAACCCCCAAAATGGGAAGTGGCTTGGGCCTTCCTCAGCCTCAGAAGTCAGGAAGGCCTCCTGAAAGACGCAGCTCCGAAGATGGGTTGGGAAGCCACTGGCCAGGAGAAGATGGACTGACCAGGGGACAGGGAGTGTCCCTGGCAGAGGACGACGTCTGTGAGGGGCCGAGAGGGAAAGACTGTGGAGCTTTGCAAGGTCTGAAAGAGCAGCTTCCAGGGTTTGAGTGAGAGAGGAGCAAATGACAAGACTGGAGAAGTAAACTGAGGCAGAAGTTCACATTGTCCAGGTGAAATGCTTTGGCCTCCCTCTTGAAGGTGTGGGGAAGCCATCTTTAAGCCAGAAAACTTGAAATAACGGTCAGTCAGGAAAAGGCCTGTTTCTCTCCCCCCACCCCCAGTCATTGTACATTTTGTATGTTGAAATAGGTATCAGGACGCATCTGGTTTTAGAGAACGTGCGTCCTTTCTCAGCAGCACGCAGGAAAGCAGGGGCACCCAGGAGTCAGAGGCCTTCTCATTTCTCTCCATCTGAAGGAAGAAAAGACTGAGGCAGAGAGGGCAGGAGTCCGAGAGCATGAGGAGTTGAGTAGCCAGGAGAAGCTTCTAGGATGGCGGAGGCTTGAGCGGGAGGGAGGCCCTGTCGTAGCCTTTGTACTGACCCTCCAGGCTGGGAAAACTGGAAACGGGGGCCCTTTCTCTCCCCCAGCAGAGTGGAGGGGTGGAACCGACACCAGCCCCGCCGTCCCCCGGCCTTCTGACTTCTTCACTCCCTGTTTGTCTTGGCTGAGAGCTGCTCGGGGCTTTTTGAAGCTGACTCTATCAAGGCAAAGCTGGAGGAATCAGGACACTGGATCAGAGAGGAGGGAGCTGAAAGGGACCTCAGCAGAGGTGGCTGCACAATGAGTTGATGGTGGACCAGAACCCAGGGCTCCTGACTCCTTGCACGGTGCTCAACCCAAGCACCACGGAGCTTCCCAAGTGGGTGAGGGTCTGACATGGGGCTGAAATCCCCTGAGCTCCTGCTGCCCACCTTCTCTAGGAAGGCATTTGAGGGTTCACAGGTGCCCGGAATTGTGCTGTACCTCAAGTTGTGTCTCCTGTTCTTGCTTCATGAGATACAGACCTGCTCAGACACTAGCACTTCAGCTTTCAGGGACTTGGCCCCACGAGCAGGCCCCCCTGGCCGGGGCAGCAGTCTGAAGGAGGCCCGGCTGGCCCAGGGCACTGGGCCGTGCCCCGCCATGGCCAAGCCCGTAATAGTCAGGTGTGGATTCAGCGCTGCCTCCCACAAGGCCCAGCGTGGACCCTCCCGTGTTCCGCTCTGCACAGATGCCGACCGGTCACGTGTGCCACAGCTGAAGGCCTCCCCCAGCCACCTCCACCATCTGCCAAGGCTCCATAATTATTCCAAGGCCCGGTGCAGTCTCCCTCCGAGGGGAGAGTTCACACAGCTCTGTAATGTAACCCAGGCCCACGGCCGCTCGGCAGGGGGTCCCCAGCTGGGTAATGAGCTGCCAGCTTATTGAATTCCCTGGCTTTGGTCTGACTGGTCGCTGCCTTTAGCCAGGCAGCCCGGGCCTTCTGAGTACCCTCACTGAGGACTCCTTCTCCCCAGCACCCCAAATCCTGCCTCTCAAATCCTTCGTCCTCCCCAAATGTGTTTAAACGACAAAGATCAGAGCAAGGAGGCTCCCAGGCGGTTGGCCTCCCTCATCCGTTCGGGAGAAAGTGTGGCTGCCTCGGGTCTGGGGGCCCACGCAGGGTGGATCAGATGGGCTGTTGGTTGGACTTTGCTGGGGCCGCCCCATGCGGAAGCAAGACCTGCAGCTCCCGCCCCTGCCTGGTCTCCTAAACTTGCTGACTTTCCTCTCCCCTCCCCTTTCTGGAGGCCTGGGCCCCTGGAGGGAGGGCCTTGGCTGAGGATGCTGTGCTGTGGGCCAGGCCTTCCAAGGAGACGTGTAGGAAACCGCCTTCTCTGCTCCATCTTGCAGACTCCTGCTCAGGCTTCAAGACCCGCCCCATGTCACGTTTGTCTGCGTACCAGCAAACCCAGGCCTCTCTCCCTCCTCCCCAGCTCCTGTAAGACCCCCAAGACAGAGTTTACTAGTCTTATCACGCTTCTGCATGCTTGTCTGCTGGCCGACACTGTGCCCTCTCTGTGGGCAAGGACTGCGTTAGAGCTCTCTGTACCCAGAACTCAGCACATAGTAGATGCTCTAAAAACCATCCAGTAGGGAAAGAGGGAGGAGATGCTGCGAGAGGTAAGAGGTTTGGTCTGTGCGTGAGTGACATGGCATCCGAGATGTTGGCGTGGTATCTCCGTGGGTCTGCGTGTGTCCCCACCACGTGTACAGCTGAAGTATCTAGAGAGGCCTGACCGATTTGGGAAATGCTGTCAGCTGTGTTGTCCTCTCAAGGCCCTAGTGGCTCAGGAATTGTTATGCTAAGAGTGAACCTGAGGTCAAGGGTCACCCAGAGTTCATTGTCCTGGGAGACTTCCTGCTGGCTGCACCTAGAGTAGGCTTTGAACCTACCCTGAGGGTGTGACAGATCTGTGGTCCCTCTGCCCTCCAAAAGTGGTGAGGGCCGGAGAGGCTCTTCTGAGATGAAGTCAGAGCCCAGCTTACTTTCTGACGGAGCTGTGCCTGATGTCCTCTAGGAGGGCAAAAGGCAGGGGACACCTCCGAGGTCAGGCCTCTGCTCGATCAACCCAGCCCAGGCTCCACTTCCCAGAGACCCTTGTTGGGGGAGGGACGGCCTGGTGGACAGCAGGAGTGGGGGGCTGAGCCCTCATTTGGTACCCTGGGGGTTGGTGAGGGTGGGGTCCACACCACCCTCTAGAAGAGTGGAGGGAGACAGAGTCAGATGGAGCTAGATCGAGGGACTGTGAGAGGGAGGGGCCCAGGAGGATGAGACTTCAAAGCACTCCCAGAACAGCTTACAAGCAAGCTGGGTTGGCGGGGGGGCCGGCCACAGGGGCCTTTCTGGAGGGGCTTGAAGCTTGCACAGCGTTGTGAAAAGAGCACAAAACTGGGGTCCAGGAAGGGAGGGTGTGGGCCACGGGACCCCGGGCAGGCCCCCGGCCTAACCTCTCTGGGACTCGGTTTCCTCTCCGGGACCACGGAGCTCCCTCCTGGGGGAGGGCGTGAGGGTCAGCGGTGATGCTATAGGTGAAATGCTGTGTGGGTTCCAAGCCCTGATCAGATGTTATTTATTATTCTGAGCTGTGTTTTGGTGGGAGACTTGGAAAAGCTGAGAGGGAGAGCTGGAGTGTTCTAGGACCCTTCTCCCCCGATGCTGTTTTGAGAGTTCTCAGAGCAGAATGGCCAGGCGTGGGGCCCTGGATGGGAGAGGCCCGTGGCTCTTGACAGGACTGAACCGGGAGGCAGGCTTTCTCCACCAACTCCGAGGAGCGGGTGAGAATGGACAAGCTTCCTGCTTTTCTGACTAGCCTTCAACCGCCCCCACTCCCTCTAATGGTCTCAGAGACTCCCCAGAAACCCTCTTCCTGGATACTTGTCCTCACATACTTGTCCCCTGGCTGTGACAATTTTTCTAAGTCCTGCTTAGAAATGTGTCACTGTCCATTTCCCTTTGTAATATCGAAGGAGGCTGCACACACTGCGTTTGTCAAGCGCTGTGCTGAGGCCCCACTCCGAGCAGCTGGAACATGGGTTTATGAAATTACAGGATTCAAAGCAGCCGGCGTCGCCCGCTGTCTGGCTTCATTACTGGGACCGGCCTCGGAGGGAAGTTTATTCCAGTAATTTAGGGGATTAGGATCTGACACCCTTCATTAGCTCTTTGACATAAGCAGAAAAGACAGATCCCGCAGAATGACCCACACGATGGGAAGGAATTGGCTCAGGAGGGAAAAGGCAGCACACCACCCCTCCAGGAAGAGGAAAAGTCTGCAGGGTGGAAAGAAGGCTTGTGCTGCCTTTTCACAGTCAAATTAGATGGTGAACTCTAACCCTGAAGGGGAGAGTGGACCTGGGACAGGAGGGGCCTGGGCTCAGGACTCAGCTACCCCATCTGTAAATGAGAGCACTGCTGGGAACCTTTCAGATCCCTTCCGGCTCTGACGTGCGCTAGGCCCACTGCATCTACTCTCCCTGGGCACAGCAGCTCGGTTACTGTCCCCCAGATCCTTTGTCAAATGGTCTTGAAAAGGCACCTCTCTCTTCTGGAGATCTGTCTCCCCACCTTGCACGCCCTGGGGATCTAGTGAACAACTCAAAAGATCTCAGCCTGCTTACTTTTTGGTGGCATTTTAGATATGAGCTGTTTGCTGCCAAACAGGAGAGAACTTGCCCCCACCCTCTGGCAGCTTCTGGCTCTTTTCCTGGCCCCATCCCCAAACACAGCCCCTGAGGTTTCACAAACTTCTTATCCAGCCTGTAAAAACCAGAGTTGGAGCGATACCTGGACAGCAGTTCTGGCAGCTGGGGGCGGGGGGTGGTTCCCAAAGGCCCCTGCCCACACCCACAAGCTCATGTCCCTGCTTCCTGTAGTAATGGTGGGCCACCTAGCTGTGCGACATGGGGTGAGCTTCCCAGCCTCTCTGTGCGTCCTTTCCTCAAATCTAGAGTGAAGGTCCAGTTTGTTGTGAGGATTAAATGAGATGATGCATACAGAGAGCCCGGCACATAGTAAGAGCCTAGTAAATATCAGCAGTGAGTGTTACTGGCGCTGCTTACTGTGTGTGACCTTGGACAAGTGGCTCGCCCTCTCCCACCGTGAACCTTCTCCTTGCTAAAGTGGGGGGAAATGAGACAAGGCCTGCAGAGTCGTGGTGCTCGGACAGAGCTTGCTGATCACAGCCATCACGGTTGTCAGCGAGGGCAGCCCGGTGGCCCAGCGCCCTCCTGAGACACTGTTACCACGTAGGTTTTCTTGGAGCCGACAGTGTGTCAATCGAGGAGCAAGGAATGTGATCCGTCCCGGGAGCTGGGGGAGCCGGAGCATATCTGGTATGTGTCTCTGGAATGATTTGGGGAAAATTCACCGAAGTTGGAACTTGAGCCACAAACCGCCCGGGACAGAGAGATAGGGAGCTGTCCGAGCGCACACCCCCCACGGAGGCACCCGGTGCTGGGCTGGGAGTCGGCTTACACGGCACAGCGCTGCTCCGGCCAGCCCTGGAATGGCCGTGAACTTGTTGTTTTTCCACGTCATTTGCTCTCAAATGTACTATCGGGCCTGGCGATGCTAACCCTGCGGCTGCAGGTCCCTCCTTGTAACAAGCGATTGTGTGTTCTTCAGAGGTGGCCAAGGGAAGGAGGGGGCCCGGCCGAGGAGGTGGGGGAAAGGGAAACAAACCGCCCCTTTACAGCAAGCTTGCGTGTCCTGGAGCCAGCTCCCCCAAAGCACATGCCATTTCTGGCCCTAGAAGGGGTTAAAGGCCTCCTAGAGTCAAAAACAAGCAGGTGTCCCACCGTGCCAGATACGCCGCCTAAACTGCTTCCAGCTTTTTTTTTCCCCTTCTGCAACAAGTCTGTGATCAGCCACGGGACAGAGGAGCCAGCAGCCTGCCTGTGACAGGCATCAGGTTAGCTCGCTCCCACTCGGGTGGCGCGCCCAGGATATAAATCCGGCCTCGGGCCCCTGCTGCGGCTCCTCTCTCTGCACACTCAGGAGAGAGAGTTTCCTTGCAAAGACCTTTCCTTTATCTGAGGCCGCACAGCCCAGCGGGCCCCGCTGACTTGGTGGAGGCAGCCGCGGCAGCCGCAGCCTTAGCAGCAGCGAGGAAGTCTGCGGGGTGGGGAGGGCAGGTGTCTGCAGCCCTGAGAAGGAGCAGGCCCTGGTGGGCCCCAGCCCCCGGCGTTGTCCCAGGGGAGGTCTCTGGCCGACGCAGACCGCACCATGTGGGCCCTGGGGTGCCGCCGGTTCTGGTCCCACTGGGGGCAGGTGGCAGCGCTGCTGCTGCTGCTCGGGATGCCCCCACGAGGCCTGGCCCTGCCGCCCATCCGCTATTCCCATGCTGGCATCTGCCCCAACGACATGAACCCCAACCTCTGGGTGGATGCTCAGAGCACCTGCAAGCAGGAGTGTGAGACGGACCAGGTGAGTCGGAATCCGGAAGGCGGAGATGGGCCACGTGAGTGTGTGGGGGAGACTGGGAGCCGTGGGGTGGGGACGGCTTGGGAGTGCCCTGCAGGGCCCAGGAAGGTGAAGGAGCTCGGGCCCCAGGCCACATGGAGGTGTGCAGGGCATGATGACTGTCTAACTCCGAGGCCTGAAGGAAGAGGCGGGTGTGATGTCCAAGTTCATCAGCGACTGGGAATCCTCAGATTCCCGGTCTCGTGCTTGCCGAGGGCTGCCCTGAGCCAGCACTATGCCAGGCACAGCGTGTGGACTGGCACAACCCGTCAGCAGCCTGTTGACAGGTGAGAGGGGACACTCCAGACAGTGCAGTGAGCAGCACCAGGCCCCACCACCAGGGGTGGGAGGGTGGGCCCACCTACAACAAAGCCGAGGCTTCACCCAGCCTCCAGGCCCCCTCCCCAGGGGTTTGGTCCCTGACCCTGAGATCAGAGCAGGCTGACCAGGAGGGTGGGCAGGAACAGCTCTGAATAGACTCTCTGGGTGTCCCTGGGAGGGAAATGGACTGTTTCAACCTCTCAGATTCCTCTGTGCTTCCATCTGCTCTCACCAGAGCACCCTGCAGCAAGCAGGACCGGCCCGGTTCTAGGGTAATTCTTTCCCAGCTTCCGAGTCCAAGGGCCATTCCTGCCACTCCCCCCAGAGGTAAAGAGCCTCCTCATACCTGCCACCTGCCTGGGCAGAGGCCCTTCCTGCCGGCCTGGCCAGCTCCTGGGGCTCGGGGCTGGACTGAGCATCACCAGGGAACATGAGAGACCCTGATGTTCCCTCTACCAAACACATGTCACCTATAGGAGAGCACAGGATCACCCTGGAGAGAGTGCCCTTTGCCTTACAGTGCCCAGGGGACAATTCTCAGGCCTCTCAGGCCAGACGCTGCCAGTGAACAATGGTAGTGCCGAGGGAAAGGAAGATAAAGAGTGGGGAGGGGTGGCAGAGCGTTCCCATCTGGCTGAGGTCATGCCATCAGTCGACTACATTTGCAGGGGATCCTGTTTTGCTGGCACAGGCTGTCCTGATAAATCAGGTGGGCTTGGGGACAGCAAGGCACTGGCAGGTTTTGTGTGTCCTAAGGAGAAGGCACCTGTGTGGGGCTGGGGATTCAGACAGCATATGGGCACATTCTGGGCCGTTAAGCAAAAACTGTTCTAAGGATTCATTCTAGGTTTCCTGTGCCCAGAAATACTTTGTCCCTGGTCCCCAAGGACCCGGCCTTTCATGGACCTCCGAGTCCTGAAGGAGCTTCCTGGCCCAGAGTCTCTTAAGGAATTGACTGACCCTCAGGCCCAGGAGCTGATTCTCCTGCCTGCTCCCAGCAACCCTCCTTCCTCAATCCCCACCCCGGGTCTCTCTCCCTCAGACCCCAGCTCTAAGCTCTGCCCACCTCTGTCCCAAAGCCTCCCCTGGCATGGCCTAGAAGCCTGTCCAAACAAGGGCTGCCACACAAAGTCCCCTTCTGAGCGGAGAGGGGAGAACAGTAGAGGAGTCAAGCGGGCAGGCTCCACGCAGCCCGGCGGGGGTGTTTCCCCCTCTTAGCTGATGTGGAATGTCAAAGAAGCTGAAATAAAAGTCAGAACCACAAGAGGCCGGCCCTAGTGGGGAGTAATTCACAAAGCTACTACCAGGACGGAGGATTAGGCAGGCCAGCCCGCCCAGCGGGTATTGTGGGTTATTGTCGAAAACACCACGTGAAATCCTTGTTTGTGTCGGCCCCAGACCATGTTGCTAATTTCAAGGAATTAAACTAATGCCCTACGTGGCTCCACGGAGAATCAGAGGGAATTACAGCCTGGTAAGTCCTCGCTGACGGCCTTGCTGACCTCTGCCACCCAAGAGGGCTCTTTGCCTTGTTGATTTCCCCATGAAATGTTCCACCTGTTGGAGCCGAGCACCAGGTCTGGCACAGCCCGGGGTGGTGAGACCTGGCGTCTAGGGCGGGTCCCGCCTGCCAGGCCTCTGGGCTCTGACGCATGTGGGCCCTCAGCAGAGCTACTGCTCCCCACGTGTATGTGGACAGCCTCGGACGTCAGTCCCAGCAGGGTCTGACTTTTCCTTCTTAGTGTTTAGTGTGACCTCTTCAATTCGGCCAGGGCATCCTCGTCCCAATGGAAAAAGGACAAAAAGGCAGGCTCATTTGTTCCAACCTAGACCTCATTTGTGGAAACTATATGATATAGAAGAGAAACTCTCATTTCACAATCCCACCCAGCTGGAGCTTGAAGCCTTTTCTACCACTTCCCAGCTCCGTGGACTCGGGCCTCACCTCTGAGTCTCTGCACGCTCATCTGTAAAATGGTAGCAAGAAGACCCCCCTCTCAGAGGTTTATGCCTGCCTCTTCCCACACTACTAGCTGTGTGACCTTGGGCAAGTCACCTGATCTCTCTGTGCCTCAGTTATCCTCACTGGTGAAGGGAGGATAATGGTTGTACCCATCTCACAGGCTTGGGATGAGCATCGAATAAGTTGACAATGTAAAGTTTCTTAGAAGAGGGCCTGGCGAATAGTAGGCACCGTGTATAAGTTGGCTATTATTCTCAAAACGGTAGGTGAGCACATGTTAGTTCCCTTCTGCAGAGACCAGGCGGTAGGGTGGGGGAAGCCTGTCCTCCCTTCCTTCTCCTCCCTGCTCAGGCCTCTCGGTTTGGCTCTCTCCAGGAGTGTGAGACATATGAGAAGTGCTGCCCCAACGTGTGTGGGACCAAGAGCTGTGTGGCTGCCCGTTACATGGACGTGAAAGGGAAGAAGGGCCCGGTGGGCATGCCCAAGGAGGCCACGTGTGACCACTTCATGTGTCTGCAGCAGGGCTCTGAGTGTGACATTTGGGATGGCCAGCCGGTGTGTAAGTGCAAAGATCGCTGTGAGAAGGAGCCCAGTTTTACCTGTGCCTCGGATGGCCTCACCTACTATAACCGCTGCTACATGGACGCTGAGGCCTGCTCCAAGGGCATCACACTGGCCGTGGTCACCTGCCGCTATCACTTCACCTGGCCCAACACCAGCCCCCCGCCGCCTGAGACCACCGTGCGCCCCACCACGGCCTCCCCGGAGACCCCTGGGCTGGACATGGTGTCCCCGGCTCTGCTCAACCACCCTGTGCACCAGTCGGTTAGCATGGGCGAGACGGTGAGCTTCCTCTGCGATGTGGTGGGCCGGCCCCGGCCCGAGATCACCTGGGAGAAACAGCTGGAGGATCGAGAGAACGTGGTCATGCGGCCCAACCATGTGCGCGGCAACGTGGTGGTCACCAACATTGCCCAGCTGGTCATCTATAACGCCCAGCCCCAGGACGCTGGCATCTACACCTGCACAGCCCGGAACGCCGCCGGGGTCCTGCGTGCTGACTTCCCGCTGTCTGTGGTCAGGGGGGGCCCGGCCGCCGCGGAGAACAGCCCCAACGCCACGTCCTTCCCCACAGCCGAGTGCCTGCAGCCCCCTGACAGCGAGGACTGCGGTGAGGAGCAGACCCGCTGGCACTTCGATGCCCAGGCCAACAACTGCCTCACCTTCACCTTTGGCCACTGCCACCGCAACCGCAACCACTTTGAGACCTACGAGGCCTGCATGCTGGCCTGCATGAGCGGGCCCCTGGCCGTGTGCAGCCTGCCCGCCCTGCAGGGGCCCTGCAAGGCCTACGCGCCCCGGTGGGCCTACAACAGCCAGACAGGCCAGTGCCAGTCCTTCGTCTACGGCGGCTGCGAGGGCAACGGCAACAACTTCGAGAGCCGCGAGGCCTGCGAGGAGTCCTGCCCCTTCCCTCGCGGCGACCAGCGCTGCCGGGCCTGCAAGCCGAGGCAGAAGCTTGTGACCAGCTTCTGTCGGAGCGACTTTGTCATCTTGGGCCGAGTCTCCGAGGTGACCGAGGAGCCCGACTCGGGTCGCGCCCTGGTGACCGTGGACGAGGTTCTAAAGGATGAGAAGATGGGCCTCAAGTTCCTGGGCCGGGAGCCGCTGGAGGTCACTCTGCTGCATGTGGACTGGACCTGCCCCTGCCCCAATGTGACGGTGGGCGAGACCCCGCTGATCATCATGGGTGAGGTGGACGGCGGCATGGCCATGCTGCGGCCCGAAAGCTTCGTGGGGGCATCGAGCACCCGGCGGGTTAGGAAGCTGCGTGAGGTCATGCACAAGAAGACCTGTGACGTCCTCAAGGAGTTCCCGGGCTTGCAGTGAAGCCCCCCACCCCTCCCTGACCCCTCCCTGACCCTCTTCCACCTCCCCACCCCTGACACCCCTCAGTCAGCAAACTGGGCAAGGTCAGATTAGACAGTCTTAGGCCAGCAGGGAAATATCACTCAATGCACCAGAAAAAAGCCACCAGAGGGTCTTAGACCAACTTTGATTCTTTGGGTTCAATAAGGGGTCCATATCTTTTTTAGCTGAGGGGGACAAAAGGAGAAGTCAGTAGACACCTGCAAGTTATTCGTGATGACCAGTCTGCTCAGGCATTACTATCCTCTCTTTGCTGGCCACCCTCCTCCTCTGGCTCTCCCAGCCAGGGCTCTAGAGCTGACGGCTGCGTGGTGGTCACAGGAATAGCTGAGTGAGTTGGTTTGCAAAAGGAATAGGTGGAGAGAGAAAGGAGGGCCGGGGACTCATCGGATAAATTCCCCACAGCCCCCTAGAGATCGCTTCATGTTAGGGGTCCTGGGAAGCGGGAAGCAGGAGGCATGGGCAGACCCAGCGCACGACTTGCCCTGAGTGGAGGCCGCCGGGCAGGTGCCTGTGGGTGGCGGTCAGCCTACACTTTGGTCCAGTTGGCCCGACAGTCTCTGAGGCCATCATGGCACCAGCAAAAACACGTTTCTCATGTTTCTTCTCCTTGGCTTTATTGATTGTTTTATTGATTGTTGATTTATTGATTCATTTCTGCATAGTCCAACTCAATGGACATCTTCTGAACACTTACTTGGTGCCAGGTGCTAGGACCACAGAGAGATGCTAGTCACTGCCCAGCTCATAGTGACTGAACACAAATTTCCAGATCCTGGGCTTCTCCCAGAAGCAGACCCGCCGCTGACCCTCCCAATTGTCAAATGGTCCCATTTGATGGACAGTGTGCTTTCATCTGCTGAGGGCTTCCTTGGACATAAAGCAGATAGAAGCCCCAGGATCTGTTTTGGTAGGAAGAGAAATAAAGGGAGAGAAAAGGCAGGCATGGAAGGCGGGTGGTGAAGGAATAAGGAGGGAGGGAGAGGGGAGGCAGGCTTGGGAAGGAAAGGAATGTTGCTCGATGCTCCCCTCTGGTGGTGGCCTTGGGAGCCGCAGGGACTGGGAAGGAGGCTCTAGGTGAGGCCTGGGAGGGCAGGTGTGGGGATGTGGCAGCTTGTTGGTGATTTTTGTTTCTGGACTTCCAGTGCAGGTCCAGCCACCCCACCACTAGGTAAAGGATTCTGGAAACCTACTGTCAGCTCTGCCGCTGCCCCCTGTTCCCTCCTCAGTCCTTCATTCTGTCCATGACCCTCCAAAGCAGAAGAAGGTCATTGTGGGGCATCGTCATTTCTTCCTCAAATGTAGGGAGGGAGATACAAATTAAAAGCTCATAGTATTTCAACAGGCCTTCTTGTGTGATGTGTTTGGGCTAATGTGTGTGTGGGAGAGGGGAGGGGGTGTGGATGGTGTCATTTCTTTGGTGACCTTGCAGGAGGGAAGTCTGGCCAACAGGACCACATTTGGGTGATGGAGGGACACTGCTGATATTCAGCCCACTTTGCAGTTCTGGGGCCCCTTAGCTGTGGTGCTCACCGCAGCTCTGTGCATTAGGCACGGGAAAGGCCAGAGAGACCAGGTGGCTTACCAAGAACACAGGGACAGGAAGGTGTGGGGCTTTAGGTCCAGATGTTCTGACTTGTATCTCAGTCTCCAACCCCATCAAGACTGCGTGGAAGGCCCGGGACAGACTCCAGACCCCGCCACTCATGGTGTCGAGTTTAGAGGCATGGGGGTGGAAGAGACGGGAGCGGGGCAGGGAAGGGCATGCTGCCCAGCTGTGACTCCCCAGGGAGCCTCTGGGCGAGGCCTGGTCCCAAAGCCCTAGGTGTGCTCAGAGCATGTGGCTCAGTTCCCCTGGGGACAGCAGCACCTCTGGTCTCAGGTGCTCATGGCGGCTCCCCTCCCCTGGACATGTGTTCAGGAACCTGCAGCAGTAGCGTGGCCCATAGCTCCTCTGTCTCCCAGGCTGGGAGCCAGCTAAGCACAAGAGTCACCTGTCCCCTGTCCACTTCCTTGGCTCTTCCTGGGCCACAGCCCTGAGGAGGAATCCAGGCCCAGCCCGGTCAATCCCTCCTTAGAGATAATTCCCTGCAGTAAGAATGGGGCCAGGATTGGGAAGACAAGCTGCTCCCTGAGAGAGAAGAGAGGCCGGAGGAGATCAGGGAACCAGGGAGGTGAGGACTCGGCTCTTCACCCACCCTCAGAGGCTTGGGGACATTCTGTTGCACCTACTTCTAGGCCAAGGTGCCCCAATAAATAGCACATTACCTTAGAGCCTGAGGGGCAAGTGTCCATGTACCAGCACCTGTCCCCTCCCCTCTTCCCCCTACTTGCACAGATATGGGGCCTGAGCCCTGTGGCTACCTGGTGGAGGTGTGAGGTTCAGGGGAGTCCCATCCCAGGGCTCCCTCTCACCAGCTCACTGCCCACCCACAGCCCCAGACCTGGGGTCCCTGTCACACTCCAGCCCCAGCCTGTAGAGTCAGGCTCACCTAGGTCTGAATCTGGGCTCGGCTGCTTACCCGTGGTCTCTCTGAGCCTCAGTTTCCTCATCTGTAAAAGAGAGGGTAACAAGAGCACTTCCTGGAGACTTCGACCCTACTGCCCTGTCAACCTGAAGCCTGGGAAGCGGAGCCTGGCCCAGATGGCTGCCCCTGGACCCTCCTTGGCCCCAGCAGCTCCCTGGCCCCCAGGACCTAAAGCCCTCCCTTTGTCCTGCCGGGCCTTGGGTTTCACAGGGTCAGTGACCACACAGCTTCAAATATTTTATTCTGTTGCTCACAGCGTACATCCAAACTGATCACCCCACATAGGCTGATTTGGGGTTCAGAAAATACAAGCACTTAGGGAATGGGTGATTTAGAATCTATTATAACTTTGGGCCGACTACATGGCATTTATTTTTCTGTCCTTGAAACCAAGCCTGAGTCTCGGATCTCTGTTCCAGGCCTTCACAACAACCGACGTCCAGCAGGTGCTCAGGAACAGGGGAACTGAATTCCCAGGGCCGGGTTGTTGTCAGGTATCCTGGGGAGACAGCTCACCAGTCTGGGAGCTTTGGCCCCAGCCTGGGTCCCAGGACACGGGGGGATCAAGGCCTCCTTCAGGTCCAAGGCCAGATTCACATGCTCTCCTCTCTGCACTGGACACTCCCTCTTGCCCTACTTGTATCTGCTGGCTCCCCCTCCCCATTCTCCTCCCCCTCCAGTCCATCTCTCTGTTTGCCTCTTCAGAGGCCTGGTCTGGCGCCGGCTGTCTCTGGACCAGCCCCGAGGGCTCTGGGGCAGGACAGCTTGGCTTTTTCCACCCTCTGCCTCCCCCAGCACCTCCAGCCTCCTAGGACACTCTGCTCCATTGTCTGGCCAGCTGCTCCATAGTCTGATGTCACCCCCTGGACAGTGGGGCCAGAAAGCAGGCACCAGGGGCAGAACCTGACAAGGGAAGGGGGAGAAAAAACACACAGCCACAGGGCTATTTCCTTAGGCTGGGGAGAACGCCTGTGTCCAACAGTTCAACATCACACTGAGCGGGCCCACCGTGTGACAGGCGCTCACCATCGTATCTGGTCGTCTCCATCACAACTGCCTGAGACAGAGGCTATTTTGTAGGTGGGAAAACTGAAGCTAGAGGGGATAAGAAACTCGCCCAAGACCACCCAGCTGCTAAGGGGCAGAGCCAAGATGTGAACCTAGGCAGCCTGACTTCAGAGCTCTTCATGCTCATGTCATGCTAGGTCTCCCAGTGTGTCACACACGCACACACACACACGCTCTGGGCTGGGCAGTGTGGAATCCCATCAGGACCCCAAAAAATATCTCAAGAGCCCGCCTCCCATCAGCCACACACACACCCCCCCCCCCAGGGCTGTCTTTCAACCTCGCCACGTGACGTGGTATTTCTATCACACCCATAAGCAGTCATGGCCTAGATTCCTGAGTGAGACATCAGCCTTATGCCTACTTGTCCTTCAGGACTCAGCTCCTCGGGGAAGCCTCCGCTGTCCCCAGGCTGCGTAAGCGCTCTTCGCATGTCTCTGTCTTCCTCCATGCCTGCACTGGTCTCAGGTCAGAATCATGGCTGGGGGCCACAGGAGGCCTGTGGCCCAGCTCACAGAGCACATGAGGGATTCGCTGGATGAACAAAGGGTACTGGGACGAGGGGCTGCTGTGCACTGGACAACCGCGAGGCTGTGGAGAGGCTTCTCTGGGGTCTTCCCTCCTTTCTCCCAGCTCCACTTCCTGATACTGTCTCCTCCTCCTCCTCCTCCTCCTCCTCCTCCTCCCACCTCCCAAGGAGTCTGAAGTCTCCCTCCTGCTCTGGGAATGTGTGATTAATATAGGCAGGATGGGTGGCAGGGTTCCTGGGTCCTATTCTTGGCTGTGACCTCATTCTGGAATGTGCCCTGAGGTCAAGTGACACTCCTCTCTCAGGCTGTGTCAGGAGGAAGGAAGAATCACCCTCCAGCTGGCATTCTCCTGAGGGAGAGGGTAGGGCAGGCAGGTGGGCAAGCCCACCACCCTCTCCTTCCCACCTCTGTGGCTCCTGAGCCCCTCAGCACATCTATTTCAGGGTCAGGTTGGGGTCTCTGTGTCCACATCCCAAATTACCCCAGGAGGGGGACCTCTGGCATCCAGGTCTCCAGCAACACCCTGGCCACCCTGAACCCCATTCAGATGAGGAGGAAACAGGACTCAGCTCCAACACTTCCTAGACTGGACCCTCCCGGAGGTGGGGCCTCTTCCCAGTACGTCTGTCGGGGTGAGACGGGTGCTTGGGTGTTTTCTGCCCTTTTCAAGTCTTGAGGACACTGTGAGAGACCTGACAGGATGATGTACCATCCTGATTGTTTTCTGTCTTGGTGTGACAGACGCATCCAATTCATCAGAGGATGGCAAATGTTTTGTCTCCTTTCTGTGTGGGCAGCCAGGAAGCAGAGAGGGGGCCTGGTGTGTTGGCAGGGACCCTCAGCAGGAGAGAATCATGGTGCCGGAAGAGAAGGAATGGACACCTGAGTGCTAACAACTCTTATCAAGCACTTTACATAAGTTGTCCAATTTAATCCTCACAACCCTCTCTAAGCCAGATAGTTTACTATTTCACCTTTTGACAAATCCCACCCTGGGCTGCACTGTTTAGGAGGGCAAAGACAATCTGTGCTGTGTTCACCTCTGTACTCAGCACCAGACCCCACCATAGAGTGTGTTTAATAAACATTTGTGGAATGAATGAATGAATGAATGAATGAAGCAAGCCCTGTAGACCTTACAGAAGAAGAGACGCCCTCATAGGTATTATTTTCTCTACTTTACAGATGCTGAATCTGAGACTCTGAATGTTTAAAGGAAACTTACCCAAGGTCATAGGGCTAATAAATGGAAGGGCCAAGATTCAAACCCAGGTCAATCTGACGTTAG